ACCGTCCCGGCGATCCCCGCGGAACCAGGAGCACAGGGACACTGGGACCTTCATCCTCGCCGCCCGTTTCCGGGTCTTCCCCGTCCTTGCCGGGCGTACCTGGCCAAGGCCAAGGACCAGGACCAGAAGTAGGGAAATCTGTGCCATCCCAGGAACGCCAGGAACCTGGCCGCGACACCGGCCGCATTGGCGACCGTTTTCACAAAAAAAAAAAAAAAAAAAAAGAACCGGTGCACGTGATATATACACCAGTCCACGTAGACCGGCAAGTGGGCCACCGCCTTCTCGCACAAGAACCACGGGCACCATGTGGGCGAGGACGACGTGGATGCACCCGTGGACAGCGCCGACATGTATGTACACGTGGATGTGCAGGTGGACGCGAACCATGTATGCTGATGCTCTCGAGGATGCGCACGTGGCTGAAGTCGGGGGCGATGATAGCACAGAGGTTTGACGAGGATCTGGGCATACCTGTGGCTGAACACGTGGACGACCACGTAGACGAACTCACGGCCGTACACGAGGAACACGTGGACAGCAAGGCCGCTTCGAGAGCCTTGTCAAGCTCTTTTTTGCCCGACAGGTATGAAGATCGGTCATCTGCCGGAGTCACTCTCGTTTCCACCGGTGCAAACCTAGGTGTGCGACACTGTGCGAAACAAAGAAAAAATCGACAACGCTACCGGTAGGTGACAATGAACGGTGAGGCAGCAAGAAAGTCGACATCACTTTTGTCTGAAGCATCAAATCACGACCACCAAACACTTTCGATTAGCGAATGAACAGTAGAGAGACAGAAACATTCAAAAAAAAATTAGTTTGTCCTTTTTCGTTAGTGATGCCGTACACCGTTGTCTCCGTTTTAATACCCAGAGAAAATAAAAAATAAAAAAATATCTCATCTTTTTTCTTTTATCTTTTTTCTTAGGATTCTTTCTACTATAATACATGTGTAGGAGACGATATTCAACCGGATCTTTCTCGACTGTACCTGATCACGATTACGGCCCGTGCTGGATGTATCTTAATGCAATCACGTTCAGAGTTCACTGGACAAAGTGCAAGTGTGGGTTTACGACCCCCAAAGACCGCCTTTTTTTTTAAATAATCTATTCCTTCGACAACGCATGACAAGAAAAAAACGAAAAAGGAATGACGGAGATCACTACGCGGTATGTTCTCTGAGGGCGCACTCATACTAGGAGTTCTTGTACTCTGCTAAGGCCAGAGTTGGCGTCACATACATCCGTGTGAGGTCGTGATTGCAGCAACATGCATCCGCGAAGATGATGGCTCTCAAAGAATCCATGACAAGACGGCGGAAGACGGGGGGGATACGGGGGTGAGACGGAGGGGAGACGGGGGGCAGACGGGGGGGAGACGGAAGGGCAAGTGGAGGATGACGAAGAAGCGGAGGAGGAATCGAAGAGGAGGACGCGGCAGCCAAGATGACACGTGGCAGCCAAGATGACACGTGGCAGCCAAAGTGACACGTGGACACAATGACGATGAGTCGATGACAAGGGGGGAAGACGGAGGAAGACGGCGATGGCAGGGAAAAGGCGGCAGGAGGACAGGGCGGACGTAGAGGGCAAGTGGAGGCGATGACGATGACTCGGAGGAAGAGGGAAGGCGGAGGAAGAAGACGGCGATGGCAGGCGGAAGGCGGCAGGAAGACACGGCGGAGGCAGAGGGCACGTGGACGCGATGACGATGGGTCAGAAGAGGAAGAGGGCAGGTGGGCGATGGCAGGGGGAAGGCGGCACGAAGACATGGAGGAGGCAGAGGGCAAGTGGAGGATGACAAAGAGGTTGAGGAGGAAGAAAGCAGGTGGAGGAAGATGCAGGTGGAGGAGGAAAAGGGTAATGAGGAGGAAGACGCAGAGGAGGAAGAGGGCAGGTGGGGAGGAAGAGGACGAGTGGAGGAGGAAGACGGTGACGGGGCGAAGACGCAGAGGAGCAGGAGGGCATGTACAGGGAGAGGGCCCGTGGCGGACGACGGCAGGCGGCAGATGGAGGAAGAGGGAAAGGGGAGAGGGAAGAGGGAAGAGGGAAGGAAGAGGGAGATGGAGGCCGCTTACCGGGACGCTGCGCATCGGGGATGTGGACCCGCTGGTAGGTGGCTGCACACTGGAAGGCAGGGTCTCCCACCTCCATACGACAGCAGTCCGTTCGAATTCGAAGATTCCGCGGACCTTCGCGGGTTTTAAAATTCGCGCCAGATCGAGGGGGACCTCTGTGGTCCGGGGCACACCCTGGACCACGGAGGCCCCATTTCTCTTTTTTTTTTTTCCGGGGAGGCCCCATTTCTCACTCCCCCGGCGGCCTTGTGCAGCGGCTCTACCGGGCCCTCCGACGTGGCTGACTAGCGTCTTTACCGGAATACAACGTACGGTCATTATAGCTGTTTGGGCGAGCTTTAAGTCTAGATACAGAAATAATAACCGTTGTATAGCCGGTAGACTGCAGTTACAAACTCGGCGCTGCAACTTTTGTTTTGTTTTTTCCTTTTTTCTCGCTTCAACTTTTGTGTTTTTTTTGTTTTCCCTTTTTTTTTTCAGAACAGCGACAGCCTTGGGATATCATTGTGAAAGTGGGCCTCGCTCCGCTACTCGCGAAATGTGCAGAACGAGAGAATCTTCAGATAGAACATGGGTAGATACACGGCCATGATCTTTGTCTTTTGTGCATGTCGAGAGTAGTCGAGCGAGGCCCACTTACCGGCCCCAGGTAATTTAGGAATTCTGTTCTCTGATTCCACCTGGGTTCGAACTCAGGTCTGCATTCAACAGTTTATGGGTGTACCAACTGAGATAAGCCCGTTGGTTGGAAACTCCGCGCTGCAACTTTTCTGCAAGCGGAGTTTCGACTACATTTACATTGTAAATGACCCGACTGGACTGCAGAAACCGTGTTTGGAGCGCATTTTTCAAACGGGAACCATGTTCGCGACCTACCTAGTTTTCTCTTCTTTTTTTTTTTCCCCTCAAGAACAGAAGGATGAAACTAAGGGCATGCTTCCCAAAAAAAAAAAAAAAAAAAAAAACTGAGGGCATGCTCACACGCGGACCTGATACCCAAGTATACCCAAGTATACTTTTTGGTGATTCCTTTTGTCAGCAGCCTGCGTGGCGGGAGGACCCTTTTTGAGACCACCTCCAGGGGCCTGGACCCATTAGCGAAGAATTATACCACTCCGTTCAGGATTTCGATCACGTGTGGCCTCAAGTGACGCAGTGCGGCCGTCGAATACATCGGATCTCGACGGCCTTGTAGTTTCCGAGCGGGGATTGTAAAGATGCCCACCTCCGTCCAATGAGATGCATCGAAAAACAAAGAAAAAGTCTGAAAAACAGATTTGGACATGATAGCTCGTGGCTTTGCGTGGGCGGGAAGTCTGGGTTTTATGGACCCAAAAGGGGGGGGTTGATTTCCAGACTTCATTTTTTTTTCTTTTTGGCTCTGAGAAATCGAACTTGAAATGTGGTGGATCTGACAGGAACGCCTCCGCGTCTGTCGGATGGCCTGTTAGAGGATCATGAGATGCATGGTGATGAATGTATTCCCATACCCGTTACTTGTTCATCCTCGTGGCTGTGTTCCTGGACACATTTTATTGCCACAGTACATCACTATGGGCCTCGTAAGACCCTCCTTGGGAAGGCGATTTTCAGGAATTCGGCGTGGTTACACCGCGTCCTAATTCTTCAAATTCCTTGGATAAATGTTAAAACGCTCCCGAGAGATTTCCTTGGGTTCCTCAGAATCGCCAGCCAACATGTCATTGGATTCAAGGGGTATGTGACGAACCACTTTCTGTAACGCGCGACTTTCTGCGCAGTTGCAATGAGGGGTCCTAAGTTGGGAAGGTTGGGCCAATAACGAGAGATCGGGATTAGTGGGAAATTGCATCAGTGTCCTTGCTTTTTCGTCTTTTTCGTCGTTTTTTTTCGAATGACTGGGTTCGGAGCTGGGTGCGTCCTAGGGCGGCCGGTTGATTGATTGGCTGACCGAATGGCTGGCGCGCCACCGCGCGCGCGATTAATAAATGTTGACATCGGTTCTTTTGTTTCGGTTCCAAACTTTTGAGCGCAGACATCGCGCGGGAATTTGCTTCGTTCTTTTTGAATTTTTCTTTTAAATCTTTTTCGGATCTTATCGAGCCTCGATGGCCCTCGAAATTTCGGACTTTTTGGAATTTGTGCTTCTCGCTTCTTTGCATTAGATAAGACTTTAGGAATTTCGTAATTAGGATTTTTCTTGTCGCGCGGCGCTTTTTGTCTACGCGCTTCTTCATGCGGCTGCAACGGAACTCTGATTAGTAGGCGCCTTTAATCGTGTGTGTAACTGTTCTTCTTGCACTTCGTCTTTCCCGCCCTTCTTCTCTTTCTCTTGCTACGTTTTTGGTAGTCGTTATCTGCATGATCGGACCAATGCGTGGAGAGCGGCTACGTCCCCCACGCCGCGATCAGACCATGCAGATGTAGGCAATCCCTCCCCCTTCCCTTCCTCTAAGTCCTTGTAATTCTGTGTTCTTCGCGCATGCATGCACAGTTAACTCTCTTAACCAGCAGTTGGAAGCTCGGGGTTGCGCGATCAGGAAGGGTCGGCACACGAGCAAGAGGTGAGTAGAGCAGGAGTCGGGCGACCTGACGAGCTGGTTCCAAATGCGCGGGGTTGACGCGAGCCACGATGGACTGTGGGCGCGGGCGAACCTGACGTGGCGAGAGGACTAAGCGGGGTGACGGCTTCGTGGGTTGGTGCGCGACGACGGACTGTCCGCATCGGAGAAGAAGAGAGAGAGGAAGAGAGAGAGTTGAGGTCAATGGATGCGGAGTTGCTGTTTTCTTTATCTTTTTCCCTCCTATCCTGTGTATATAAGTTTTGATTTCGGCTCTCGGCGGTTTGCCCGATCTTTGTTTGTCGGAACTTGAGCTTGGGTTTTTGCTCACACTTGTCCTTGCGATTTTTCCCACCTCCGAGACACTACGTGTATGATTGTTAAATGTATGGATGCATGGATGCCATGATTGATTGCTTATCTTTCTACCGGATCCTTATCTTTGCTTTTTGTTTGTCGCATTCGATGCACTCGTGTGTAGAATAGGTTTGCGCAATCGATAATCTTGTCCTTGTCTTGCTTGTCCTTTGATCGAGTTGTTGTGATCGTTGTAGCTTGCATACTCAGAACATCACGGAGTAAGTAGACGATCGCCGCGCAAGGATACATGTAAAGCGCGATCTAAGTTGCGTACTTACGCGTATCCCCGGGCGTCGACTCGTCAAGATCATCGATCGCAGATGCCCTGCCCAATTGAGAGTGGCCATCTCGGTATCCGTAGCGGCGCAGTCGACCTGCATGAGCACGCGTAAGACAGACACCCCTCGTGTGGCCTGCACGTGCTCGCACGCGGTGACCACAATCACCATGGACCTGCTTTGAGATAACTCATAATACCGCCATGACACATCGACGCGATCCTGAAATTCCGACTCATCATACGACCCGGATTACTTCACCCCTTGGATAAACGAAATCCTGAGGCAGAGATACCCTTGCCACACTGAGAATCGATTGTGTCCCCGGGAATTCCACTGCGCCACCTCTAGCGACCCCCGGTGTTCTGATTTCCCTTCTCCGAACCATACCTGTTACTTCATCCACCCCGGATTTGTCGTCATCACCACCAGTTTCCCTCCCTTTCGCCTTCTTCTTCCGTATCATCAACTCAACGTCGTTCTGTGGCCGGCCATAGCCCCCTACTGGCCCACCACACCCTGTAAGAACTGTCGACGACGTGGGGATCAGAGAACCCCAGAGTTCCGAAGGCGTAACCCGCACATGCGCCTACCAGCGCCACGTGGCAACTCCCGACAGACAGGCTCATCGGAATCCTACCTACCCCGAAGGGACCCGCCTGCGAACCGCCGTCCCCGAAAACCAGTGGCTCGCTCGGTCTTGAGCGACCCGCGCATACCATTTGCCCTGTAACCCGAACACGCCCTCTCCGCCAAATTACACTCGCGCCCCCGAAAGACCCTGTCACAGGAGATCTCAGTTCCGACCTGGGACTCCACTTTCCCAAAAATCCTTGGCACACCCCTTTTCGCACTTCCAGGCCCCCAACCTACTCCGATCAAGAAGTCGCGTTGGGCGTGAGCTTGGTATCGGAGCCCGACATGTGTCTGGGTCTTAGGATCAATAACATGTTAATTAGGCGATCTAGCTAACCGAGGGCGGCCTCGGCCCCGGAACGCGCATGGACGCGACCCTATCATCACCCGAAGCAGATCAGCTAATCGACAAGCAGCCAAAATGGCTGCTAATGTACAGAACCCGAATCTACAACAGATTGCTAATCAACCAAATCCTAATCAACCCGCCCCACGAGCACGGGCTCCCATGATGCCACCTGATCTCTATCTATTCGATCCAGCACATCATATCGCAGGAGCGCAGGAGCGTGGATGACCACACTTAGAGCGCAGTGGTATGATGATCACGAAGCACAGATAAACATTCCTGCTCGGTTAGGAGGAGACGCTCATCATTGGTTTAGTACCTACGTATGGGTTGATCTCCCGACCTTCGAACGGGATTTCATGAATCGATTTGATTATGTTCACCCAGAGCAAGCGCCTTACATGATCAAGGACCGAGTGCAAAAACCTCTTGAATCCATTGCAGAGTATCGAAACCGGTTCTACCGAATGTTTGTGAAGACTGAGCGAGGCAAACAAGTCGGGAGAGATTTGTTTATAGATGGCCTTCACAGCCGAACGATAAGGGCTAAATTTCGAAAGCAATTTTCCCCCATCACTCATATGCTGCAACAGATCATGGCTGTTGCGGAAGAAATGAAACGGAAGTTCGCGGCGAACTTCCTGGAAGGAGAAGATTATTCCAGGGAAGGAGATTCGTCCGAACTTGCGAGGGCGAGAGCTGAGCTGACTGCATTACAAAACAAGTTCGAAAACTTGGGATTTGTATCAGGTCTCGTCATCTATCTGGAGCAGATAGGACCCAAACGACTAACCCCAAGTGAGATTCCGAGCGTCCCTGTTCCGGTGATACCAGCACCTGTATGGGCGTTACCCCCGCCACCGGTCGAGAA